AGCTAACTGTTCCTTTGGTGTTTCTGCTAGCTTTGAAAACATTTAGCATTTTTAGCTTCTGAAACTCTCATTTATTTGGCTGTTTTTCGAACTTGTGTCTGTGTTGACATTTTGGTTATCGACTGTTAAGAATCATTCAAATAGTTAGATTACCATTTGCTGTTGTTCTGCAGTAAAGAGTTTAACATTTATTTTATATCTGAAGCCCAACCGTGGCCAAAAACACGCTAGCAAATCTCAGCAACTGTAAAACTGAAACCATGAGTTAAAAGTCTCCTGAAAAGAACTACTTTAGCATTAGCTTCTGCTAAGTAGCATGTCGGTATAGTGCTTTAGCATTACCTTTTGCCAAGTAGCATGTCGGTAAAGCGTTTTATGATGTGTTGTAGGGTTAGCGCAGCTAGTTTTTTAGTTAGCGTTGCCCACCACTGATGAAAACCTTGAACGCTCTGTGGACAGATGCATTCTGGTCCTGATGACCAGCATCCTTTCCCTGATCCCACTGGGAAATGTCCACTCTGTGGTTTCCTGTTTCTGGTTTTATTTCTGCAGAATATTTAAACTAATTCTAGATTCCTCATCCTGATCCCAGCGAATCCCAGCATGCGACTCACAGCAACAACAATAGACACGTTTTCAGACCCACAGCAGTTTGGACGTGATTCCATGTTTACCTTGCGAACAGAAACTCTGCAGATGCAGGGATCCAACACTCCAGTGATGGGGTTGGCGTTCATTTTACACACAAAGGAGAACCTCTTCCCCCATCGAACGCAGTTCTGCTGCACCTCCTCCCTGCAGAACACACACACACACACACACACACACACACACACACACTTAATTTAGAGTTGAAACTGAAGAATCTTCTCAAAGCAACTGTAAGCAGCTTGTTGCATTAATAAACAAATTATTCCAAGAATCAGTGAAAATTATTTAAATTATGTTTTATTTATTAATCTTAAGTATGTTGACTTTCTGTAAAAGTTTTCTACTGTGTGTAACCATTTTACATCCTCAGAGTTAGCCTGCTTTAGTAAAAATAACATTAGAATAATCACTTTATTCCTGTTTCTAGAATATCGGACATAAAGATCCTAAACTGCTAAAGGTTTGCTAGCAAATAGCTAAAATCTTGGCAACATGTGGCTAAAGCTAACAGCTAGCTAGCAAGTAATGGAGCTAAATAGTTTGGTAGTAAGTACCAAACGATCCTGCTAACAAAAAGCTAATTCTCATTAGTAAGAGGCTAACATCTAATTTACAAGTAATGAAATAAGCTAAGCTGCTTGCTGTTAAGAGGCGCTAGCAAAAAGCCAAACAGTTTGGTTGTAGCTATGTTAATAGCATGTTAGCAAGTAGCTAAAAGATTGCCTGCTTGTCTAGAAACTCTCCAGAGTTGTCAGGTTAGCCAAGTAGCTCATTAGGCTAATATCCTTTGTGTAAATGTAGCTCTACATAGTTAGCTGAAAGGTGTGCATCTCGTTAGCAGGTGGCATAAATAGTTAATTTGGACAAGGCTTAGCAGCTTACAGAGGAAACAACCAAACAGGTCAGAGGTCAAACGGTCAAACAGCTAACAAGTGCCTAAAAAAGCTCAGCACAACAACTTGTTAGCAAGTGGGTACAAGCTAATTATTTTATCATCTTAGCTGTTCATCTTTTCAGTGTGTAAATTAAATTTTCCTGAAGCAAAATCTTTATTAAAAACAAGAATATGAGACATCAGCTTTTAATGTGAAATAAAAGAGGTCATGATGTCATCACACCATCTCTTAAAGGTCTACAAACCCGAAGACTCAACAGTTAGCCTGTTAGAGCGAAAGGAAAAGAAAACAACCCAGTTCTCCAGAGAAAAGGCTGAGAGCCAAGATGCTCTGACTTTACGACGGGGTTTTCCTCCTCTGCTAACGGCAAACAGATGGATGTTTATCCGTCCGGCTCACTGCGCTCACATCGCTACGATCAGACCAAACCCAGCAAACATCAGCTGTGACTGAATCAGCAACTCCGACAGGAACTGTTTCAGCTTCACCTCGACTCGCAGCAGCAGGACGAGTTTAAGGTTATTAATGATGCTACAGGTTTCAGTTTCCATGTCAGAGGATCAACGATCAGAATCAGACATGAGATTCAGTTCAAAAGAAATGAAGAAAATCTCTGAACTGATCATGAAAGTTTGTGTCCATCAAGTTGAATTACAGATTAAATCTCAAAGAATCTGAAGAGAGCACATCTGCTCTCAGGTCCGAGTGAGAGCAGACGTGAAATACGTGATCTCTGATCTCAGATCTGCTGTCTGAATAGACCAGCAAAGAGAACAGATCGTGCAACAGATCGTGCAACAGATCGTACAACAGATCGTACAACAGATCGTAGAACAGGTCGTAGAGCAGATCGTAGAACAGGTCGTAGAACAGGTCGTAGAGCAGATCGTAGAACAGGTCGTAGAACAGATCGTAGAACAGATCGTAGAACAGGTCGTAGAACAGGTCGTAGAACAGATCGTAGAACAGATCGTAGAACAGATTTGACAGAAGAGGAAGTTCAAGTATCTGGGTTTTAAATCTGAAACTTTTTGCTGATCTACAGGATCGGTAGTTTTGTGCGATGAAAATAAGAAATCTTGCCTCTCTGTTGGACACCATGAGACTTGTTTAAATAAGACTTAACCTAGGACCTTTTGATAAATCTGTCACAAAGGTTCCCTACTGAAAAGGTTTGTTTTTTTTTCAAAACCCCTTTTGTCTTCTAAATTATTCAGCTCAAGTGAGCTGAACAGCAAAAATATTTAAAGTTTTTAATTTGTTCTTCAGATTCTTCAACCTTCAGGTTGGGTCAAAATTCAGCTTTCAGAGTTTCCTGATCATTACTTTGTGTAAGTTTGATTGGTTCTGTTATTACAGACCAGAGTGACCTGAAAGCTTAGCCCCGCCCCCAGAGGAACCAACCCCAAAAAGTGGGCGGAGCCAAGAGACAGGGTGTTAAACTGGGAGTGGCCAAGACGAACGGTGACAGCTTAGCGATTCGTCGCTACATTCAGCAACGTTTGTTATTGTTTTTACAAAATAAGGTGACTGGACAAATCAAACCCCTTTTCTTCAAAAAACTAAACGACCCGGTTCTCCTCTCAGAACCTGCCTGAGCCTGACCCGGTTATCCATCTCTTCTCATATTTTATATTTCATGGCGGCGGTTGCGTAGCTCCCCAGGCGTGACGCTTCATCGTGAGAGGAAACACTTAATGTTTAACTGAGTTTTTCCTCAGGAGTTAAAACATTTCTGACTCTGAATGTCAGTAAACATTTTTCATCCTGTTCATGCTCTGGGAACTTCCTTCCCTCAGACGGTTTCGATGTGTTAAACCCCCATCGGCTGCAGCCAGGCGGAGCGACTGGTTCTGCAGGTTCTCTGCTGTCGGCCCGGCCCACCTGGACACACAGGCACACCTTTGTGAGGCAGAGCCTTTCCTCACAATGAGGCTGACCCGCTGCAGACCAGATACTCTGTCCCTGAATCAACACGTGTTTCTGCTCCAGCACGGTTTCAACCCGGCTGGGAAATCACAGCCTGTTCTCCAAACGCACCTCTGAAAATGTGACCAACTGTTTTCATCGATGTTTTCTGATGAAACAGTTATAAATATTTCACTCTCAGTGTTCTGACTATTTATAGCATCAATCTAAATTAAAGGTTTAAAATTACAAAGTGGCAAAAAGCCCAGCAGTTTTACTCTTATTGTTTCTGAAAATAACGCAGAACAAGATGTAACAGCGGTTAGCTGAACAGCTAGCAAGGTAACAACTTCACAACAAGCAATGGATAAGCAACTAACTAAAGCTAGCTAATGCTAAGAACTATCACAAAATGTTGCAGACATTTAAAGTTTCAAATATCAGTGTAAACATTTTAAGGAACATCATGCTAGTAGCTAAAGCAGAGGCTACATGCACACAGCAAGTTTGGAAATTCAACTTATTTACTAAAATTTTTTTTGTGTGTGTGTGTGAATCATTCACTACAAGCAAGTAGCTAACATGTTGTTAGCAAGTGGCTAAACAGTCGCCCATAGCTAGGCAGCATAGCAGCAAAGCTATTAAGCTAGTTAGCTAGAATAATAACATGAAACCTTTGATTTCATAACAGAGAAACTAATCAGTCTTTGACTTTAATTTAAAATAAAAACAGTTTTATGATGTTTTACGTAACATGTAGCCTATGTTTGCTGCTTATCCACATACGTAAAACTGTTCTGATGTTTCTTTTTTTGCTGTTTTCTGTTGGAAAAATTAAACATGTCAGCAGAACATGAACCTTTGATTTTTTATGAGGGTTTAAAAAGATAAACATCAGAGTTTTGAGCATTTATGTTGAGAGCAATGTGTCTCATTGCTGAGTTGTTTTGAATCTGTGCTCATAAAAGTTTATTGGTTCCAGAGCAAAGGAGAATATTTAAGGTGGAACAAAGAACTGAACATGTAAAAACAAGACAAATCCATGATTAGATGGTGGAACTGGAAACTCATTTCCAAAGCAAAACAGCTTGAATGGAGGAAATAAAACCCATCTGGTAGATTATTTTTGCTGTTGTTTTTAAATATAATAACAGTTCAATAACCAAATCTTTAAAAATGTGATAATTGTTTGATCTGTGACCTTTAAAAAAACAACAAATGAATCAGAAAAGAAGTTAAAATCTTCAGGATTAGCATCTTCCTGCACTTCTCCATTTTCAGTATAACCGAGTGGCGGTTCCTCTTCCTGTTCCACGTTGACAGGTGACTCCAGGTGTGGCAGGAACTGATCAGGCTGGAGGAAAACTAACTGCTAACTGCTAATAGCTGACAGCTAACTGCTAACAGAACGATTCAGCAGAGAGCAGATGAAGTCATGATTCCAGACCGGTGCTGCTGGGAGGAATGAGTGAGGCTGGAACAGAACCGGGTTCTTTGAGTCAGGCTGGAACAGAACCGGGTTCTTTGAGTCAGGCTGGAACAGAACCGGGTTCTGTTGAGTCAGGCTGGAACAGAACCGGGTTCTGTTGAGTCAGGCTGGAACAGAACCGGGTTCTGTTGAGTCAGGCTGGAACAGAACCGGGTTCTTTTGAGTCAGGCTGGAACAGAACCGGGTTCTTTTGAGTCAACATCTCCTCTCACATTTAATTTGAGACCCAGAGGAAAGAAGCTGCAGGACTTTATCCATCTTTTTAAAATTAAAATAGTCGAACTGGTTAAAACTGGAGTTGGTCGGTTGGAGCTCAAAGGAAACCAGGAATTGGTATTGACCTGTATCGGTCGGTATCGGCTGGTATCCCTCGGTATCAGCTGGTATCAGCCAGTATCAGCCTGATCGGTCAGTATCAGCCGGTATCGGCCTGATCGGTGCATTTCTGCATTTCCAGCTAAACAACAAACCAGAGCTTCAGTCGGTTGTTTCTGATCATCTGACAGGATGAGTCGGCTTTTATTTCTGGTTCTGATGCCTTTTGGTAAACTTCCTGTTTCCTCCAACAGCCTGGAAACCGACAGGATATTTAAAGACAAAAAAAAAGGATTGGGCTGAAATGATTGATCGGTTTAATTGTGATTAATCAATTTCTGAAGTAATCGTCAACTAATCGATTAATCGTTAACTGGACAGTCAGTCTGATGTTCAGCTCAGCTTTTTTCATGATGTCAGAACGGTTAGCTGCAAACGATCAAACCTTCACCAAAGGAAATGTTGATTTTCTTAGTTAAAAATTATTTTGTTTGTTTGCATCTTTTAATTTATTTCTATTATATAAAAGAGGATTAAATGGTTAAATGAAAAATGTGCAGAATGTGACAATTTTTTATCCAATTAATTGTTACAGTAACCATCAGAATAATTAATTGTCACAAAAATGTATTGGCAGAAAAATTGATTAATCGTTGGAATAATCAATTAATCGTGAGAAAAACTGAGGATCATAATTGTTAGTGGCAACTACAGAAAATCACCTAAATGAACAGAAAACGGTTTGAAAACAGTTTGGGAGGAAAATGTTCTGAACACCGTGTTGGTTCCGTTACGCCTTGTGCGCGGAGGACTGAGGCAAATGATCCGGTTATACTGTCGGCTGGACCCGGGTTAAGAACGTTCTTTATGTCTGAAACTGGAGTTCCCGGAGCAACCGGCTCCCGCAGGGTGTGTGAGGCGGATCAACATGACGAACTAAAGGTCGCAGGTTTTATGGCCGTCAAGCCATCCGGAACCGAACTGAACCGAACCTACAACAGTCAGCAGAAACTGGGTCGAGTCAGCGGTTTGACTGGGAACCAGTCAGGAAGCGGCCGGACTCACCTGGAGGAGGAGATGCTGAAGTCCCCACCGTCCACCAGCCGAACCTTGCAGAACAGAACCCCGTTGACGAACGGAACCGCGGTCAGTTCCTCCAGGACGAAGTGGACCTGGAACTTAAACTTTTTCTTCTTGATCAGAAAAGCCATGATCCCCAGAGAGAGAACCAGCCGAACCCCGCAGCCGAACCGCGCAGGGAAAGACTGGGTCCGGTTCTAGAGAAGGCAGAATTCCCGTCGGTGTTCCAGGTGAATCATTCCTGGTGGTTCCTGCTGACCGGGACCAGAAACAGGACGTTATCCCGGTCCGGACCAACTCCGAACCGCAGCAGCTCCAGAACCGCTCTGCCACGCAAACACCGCTAAACTCACCGCACAGTCCGCCCGCAGCGCGTCATTCCGGGTCAGAACCCGATCCCAACTCCGAACTTCCTGGTTCTGCTCTTCAGGACATGTGCGGGTTCGTCCCCGCAGCGGAGCCCCGCAGTCAGAGGCGCGCCGAACCGAACCGAGCGGGTTAAAGAGAGAGGCGGCCCGCCGTGCCCGCGCAGCGCCGCGGGAGCGCGCAGTCATCAAACCAAAGTACAAAACTAAAAACTAAATAAAGAGGGTCATGAGACCAGTCATATTTATGTGATCCCCGAGCTACGGAGGCCCAAACGGACAAAATAATAAAAAAATGAAATAAATAAATGTAACATTAAATGCCTAATTAAATATCCAGTAATATTTACTTTAAATAACATTTATATAAAATAAATTCATTTCAGAATCTGTTCACAGAAATTGTTGCTCCGGCCTCCAGTTACTCTGATCTTCAGGTTTCTTCTTCTGCTGCATCAGGCAGGATGGACACGTCTGGCGGCCATTTTCCCTCCAGATGTTGACGACTGTCAGCTCCTGCATCCCCATAGCATGATGCTGCCACCACCATGTTTCACTGCAGCCACGGCCTGGTTTCCTCCAGACAAACTTTGGAATTAATGTGGAGAAATTTGGAGGAAAATTTAAATTAAACTTTAATGAAGCAGAAAGTGAACAACTAACAACCAGCTGGATGCTCCAGAGCAGAAACTGAGAAACCTGTTTCCATAGCGACGCTCACACTGATGATGTCATTTCCTTCACACACTTTGTTCAGTTTTAGCTTTAAAACCCAGAAGTCAGATTTTATTTATTAAAAACAGAACTGCATTCATAAAAAAAACATGGAGTTTGTAGGGACACAGCGCCCCCCAGTGGTCCAACTGCAGCACTGCAGCTTCCTGTCTGTAGCCTGTAAAACCAGGCTGAGCGTCAGAACCGGGTCAGAACCAGGTCAATTAGTCTCTTTCACTGGGTCAGAACCGGGTATCAACAGGGTCAGAGAGACTCCTCCAGCGGGTCAGAACCGGTTTTGGGTCAGTGAATCTCCTCCAGTGGATCAGAACCGGGTCAGAGCGGATAAGAAACAGCTTAGAAACAGGTCAGAAAACATCTGAACCACTGGACGCAGGCCTGAACCGGGTCTGAACAGGGTCAGTGAGTCTCCTCCAGCGGGTCAGAACCGGTTTTGGGTCAGTGAGTCTCCTCCAGCGGGTCGGGTCGCTGCGGCGCTGCAGCAGGACTCTTACACCTGCTCTGTTCTTCCTCTGCGGCGGCGGTACCGACAGGCGGCGTCCCCGTCGCCGCGGGCGCCGGCTCCGCCCCGCTCTGCAGGAACTTCCTGAGGTCTTTGAGCGCCGGGCGCAGCATCTGGACCAGCGCCAGCAGCGCGGCCTGCGTCCCCTCCAGCGCCTGCGCCTGCCGCTCCTGCGCCAGCGCCTGCGCCTCCTGGCAGCGCCGCATCACCTGCAGCAGCTCGTTCTGCCCCTCCAGGTGCTGTGCGATCTGGCGGATGTGGACGTTGGTGACGCGCTGCTCCTGCAGCAGGCGCGCTGAGTTCAGGGCGATGCGGCTCTTCAGCTCCTGCGGCTTGGCCTGCGGCGGCGCCGGCGAGGCGAGCGACGGCGCCAGCATCTCCACCGGCGTTTCCACGGTGGCCATCACGGCGGGAGCGGAGTCTCCTACGGCGGCGGCGGTGCAGTACTCCACCACGCCGCCGTCCTCCAGGGCGTGGTACGTGGTTTCAGCTGGAGGTTGAAGACGGAGAGGTTGAGCTCAGATCTGGACCAGAACCTCAGCAGGTCCAGGACAGGGAACTTACCGGTCAGCGGTTTGGGCTCCTCACAGACGCCCCCTGCTGGTCCTGGAAGAGCTGAACAACATGGAGGACGGCAGGTTAAAAAACATGAGGGGTCAGTTGGGTTCTGACATCATCACAGATCCACCAATCAGAGCGTCTCATTCAGATCAACACCAGCGCTCAGAGCCTGACGTCATTAATGGCTGACATGTTGGTTTTGGCTCAGAGGATTTTAAAGCATTTTCACTTCAGAATGAAAATAAAGTTGCTGAATTGGGGGAAAAACTGTCAAGGATGCAATATAATAATAAAAATACAAAATTTCAGTAATTCAGAATCAAATTTCAGTAGATAGAGACGTTTATGTCTCTATCTATCTATCTATCTATCTATCTATATATATATATATATATATATATATATTTTTTTTAACAGTATTGATTTTTTGTTTAATCTGTCCTTAAATTATTTTAATCTTTGTTCATGTAAGTTGTAATTTATTGATTTTTATATTTATTAACATATGCTTACTTGAATTTATTCCTTTATTTTTTTATATTTTGTTTTTTTAAATCTGCTTATAAATTTGTGATACCCTTTTAACTTTATTCTACCAACAAGTCTAATTTTATTGAAATGCTTTTTTTTTTAAATCGTCTGATCATCTTTTTATTTTTAAGTTTTTTTTTCATAATTAATTTTAACTTATTTTTCTTTTTTAAAATGTATTTACCCAATTTTTTAAATTATTTTTTCTAATGTTTTTCAAAGGTTATTTTACTTTTAAATATAATGTAATGAGTGTTATTTGTTGTAATAGTTTTACTAGTTATTTTAACAATGACTTTTTGCCAATTTCTTTATTTTAATTAATTTTGACAAGTTTCTGATTTTTTAACCATCAGTGTATCTATTTAAAAAAAACTTTTAAATTATTTTTTATTGTGTTTACGAATGTTTTAAAATCATTTTTTAATAATGTTTTTCAATCAATTTATGATTTCCAGTCAGATTTGTGTTATTATTAAATATGACGTATTAATTATAAGCGTATTTGTGGCGTTGTTGACCTCTGACCCCGCCGTGTTTACCTTCCGTCAGGGTGACGGTGGTCGCGGCGCTCACCGCCACCGGCAGGCTGATCTCCGCCTCCGGGTCCCCGGCCGGTAAGCTGATGATGGTGGCCTCCCCCAGCAGGTTGCAGATCCGCTGCTGCATGGCGGTCAGGATGACCGGGACCGGAGCGCAGTCCGCGGCCGTGCCCTCGATGGCGGCCCGGGCCTGGGCCACCTTCCGGCGGACCTCGGTCTTCATGTCGGACCACTTCTTCTTGACCTCGGGCAGCTCGCGCGGGCAGGTGGTGACGGCGTTCACCTTCTTCAGGATGTCCATCCAGGCGTTGTTCTTGGCCATGTGTGTGACTCCCGCGTTGAAGTGGCTCACCAGAGTCTGCTTCTGCTTCTCTATTTCCTCCACGATGATCTCCACCTCCCGCTCCGAGAAATTCATCTTCCTCTTCTTGGCGGCCGAAGCCATACCTGCGGGAGAAGCTCCTGACGGAGGTAAGCGTGCGTAATGTACGCAAAAATAGTACGATTTGCTCACTTTATGAGCGCAGCGTAATGGCTTCCAGAATCGGCTTCTTCTTCCTACAAACAACGCTTACGTTAGCCGGGAACGAAGCCCCGCCCACTGCGCGCCTATTGGCTGGGTGACATGTGAGTGCTCATAGTGCCGTGTTCCTATTGGCTAAGAAAGACGCCAATAAGTTTTTAACAGTTGGGCTGAAGAACAAACAGGAGCTTCAGCAGCATTAAACATCTTCTCCACAACAAAGACGGTAAAAACTCAGTTCTCACTTTTAAAATTAATTTAAAATAAAATTTTAGAAAATGAAAAGATTTAAATCCATATTAGCATTGATAGCACGAATAAAAAAAAATCTTATTCCTGTATAATAATAAATTAAAACAAAGTCGCAATAAACCTGGAATAAAGTCCCATTATTATGACTGTATCTTAATTTTTCTGAGTTTCACTTTAAAGGTCATAACATACATCAGTTATTGTGAGCAAATTGACCCGTTATCAATTTTAAATTACCACCAGGCGGAAGTTAATAAATTGCACATTTTAAAGTTCACATCATAAATATACTACAATGTAGGGCTGAAACGATTCTTCGAGTGATTCGAGTACCTCGATTATTAAAATTCTTAGAGAAACATTTACCTGCCTCGAAGCTTCGTAATATTACGTTTTAATTAACGCACCGTGTTCCTGCCGGGACTTTATTTGCGCTCTCACTTCCGCCTGAGTTGTTGACGGAAGCTAAGTGTTAGCAACATAACGTTCAATTTTCAAGTTCGGTCCGGGAGGATTTTGATTCATGATAATTTCCGGGTTTTTGTCGTTTTTCGGGGGACCAATAAACATCCTTAAAATAACGGGAGCTTTTCTGCTCCGGAGCTGCTGGTTCAGAGCGAACAGCGGGATTATTTACAGGGTGAGCGGGTAGACTGAACACTGCGGGCGGCTTTAGATGCGTAGCTTTACTGAAAATATCAGAAAATAAATTTCATATCATCCCGGTCGCAGCAAATGGGTGGCGAAGAGCATCGTGACGTTACATACCTGGTAGATGTTTCTGTGTGGACGAATGCAGGAGTCAAATCCCGTCGCCAAAATGGGATATAAATGATATAAATGACTGGGCGAGGTGAGAGTTCATTATTAAACTGACTGAAGACAAATACATGAACAGAAAGCTGGAGTATAGACATTTCTTTATAATAACCTGCTCACAATAGGCAGGCTATTTGTGAGCCTGCCTCCTTATAGTTACATATCACTTCAGATTTTTGTATAATTTTTCAGGTTAACTTAGAAAGTGAGCTACTACTGTACCAGGTTAATTTTCTGAACTACAGAAAAGTAATTGTTAGAGAAGCTCAAATGTGAAAAATTGGACTGATATTGATATCCAATAGTAATACTGCTGTTATGTTAGATTTACCAATGTTTTATTTTATCTTTTTTTTTAACTGATTGATTACTAAAATATTCGTTTACAACAGCCCTACTACAATGCATTACTTCACATCACTTTCACAGTAAAATGAATCCTCTAAACCAGGGGTCCCCAAAGTGGGTCCTGGCATCCTGCATGTTTTAGTTCCCTCCCTGGTTTAAGGCATCTGGATCCAATGACGGCTCATTACAGGCCTAAGAAAAGGTTGTTACCACCAGGGAGAGACTAAAACATCCAGGATGCCGGCCCTCCAGGACCCACTTTGGGGACCACTGTTCTAAACCCTAAACAAATTAAATGTACAACTTAGACTTAATTACTGAACATACATTTCAGCATCAAACTGTTTATGGTCCATTTAATGATTGATTTAAAAAAAAGAAGTTGATTTTGGGTTTAGTTTCTCTGACTTCACAGCTTTAAATTAATTTCAGCATTTTCCAGCTGCAGAAACCCAAACAGGAAGAGTTCAAACTGTAAGCAGGAAAACATTTTAATTATTTTTTTATTGGCACCATCATCAAATCCATTATTTAAACATTTTCTGACATCTTCATTGTAGTCTGACTCCCAAAATGTCAGAGTTTAGAGAGAAATTCATGGAATTAATATATCAGTACCAACATCCTGATTGGATCAGATTCAGATATGTTCATTTATCCTGATGCTTCTGCCTGCAGTACCTCTCACCGCCTGCAGATGTCAGTATAATCATTTAAATTAAGGCTCATTTAAATCTGATCTGAACCGGATCAGAACCGCAACCATCCTCAGTAGTGTTGAAATCTTTCCCACAGAACCGAAACAAAGTAGAAGAAACAGAAACACACAGAGAGACTGACATCATGAAGGCAGAGGTTCTGGTTCTGCTGGGTCTGGTTCTGCAGCGCGACCCATCCAGCAGAGACCAGTGGTTCATGTAAACAGTGCTTCAAGTAAGACTCAGAAACCCGAGGCCCGGTCTGATCAGAACCGGGCCCTCACACTGAACTGACCCCTGCTGGGGCTCCTCAACGGGTTCTGGTTCTGAAGGTCAGCTGGGTCACAGCTGGTTCGGTTCTGCTGGGTTTAGACGCAGACTGGGCTGAGTTTGGACCGCTGTGACCCAATGGTACCCAGCAGCCAATCACTGATCAGAACCACCTGGAAAATAAAGAAAGTCCAAAACAACAAGACGACCCATCTGGTGAGAGGAGCTTCAGAACCGGGACAGAACCTGGTAATCCACCTGGAAGGTCCAGTTTCACCCAGCCTGGAAGTAAAGCAGCACCGACCCGTCCCAGATGACCCAGCGTTCCCAGATGACCCAGCGTTCCCAGATGACCCAGCGTTCCCAGATGACCCAGCGTTCCCAGATGACCCAGCGTTCCCAGTCTACCCGTCCTCTGGGTCCAGGTGCTTGAGGACGCCTCCCACCAGGTGCAGGCTGCCGGTCACCAGGACGTGGACGTGTGCGGCGTCCTGAAGCAGCGCGGCCTTGGCGGCCATGCTGGGTGTGACGGGCGGCGACGTCTGAGCCGGGTCGGTCAGAACCGGGTCTCGTCCTTGGGCGATCCAGCAGAGGGCGCTGAGGATGCTGGGGAACACCAGCGAGTCCGCCTTCCTCTCAGCGAGCGGCGCCGGGCCGTCCCGGATCAGCAGCGGCGCTGGGTAGTCATCTCCGCCGTCGCTAAGGAGACGCCAGCTCCGCTCGTTGTCCAGGCAACAGGTCAGCATGGTCTCCACTGCGACATTGAAGTTCTGCTGGTCTGAGAGGAGACGGGTCCATGTTCAGACATAAACACTGAAGTTCTGCTGGACCAGCCGGTCCAAAACCAGAACCAGAGAAGAACCGAATATCAGCAGGTACAGGAGGATCAATAAGAGAAGACGGAACTGAACAGTTCCCTGCGGAACTGAACTGTTCGTTCAGCAGCAGACTGCGGCTCTGACCTGCGTTGCCGGAGGCGACGGTTTCGGTGATGTTGGGGCAGAACACGGCCAAGTCGAAGCGACACGGCTGGAGGACAGAGCAGAGAGGCTGCCGTTAGCCCATCTGGACCCGGTCCGGTTCTGTCCGATCCGGTTCTGACTCACCAGCAGTAGCTTCAGCATGGCGGCGGCGTCCCTCTTCCCGGTGGCGTTGAACAGCAGAACCCGGACCACGGCTCCACTGAAACACAGCAGCAGGTCAACAGGAGCAGCTTCACACAGACACGGGTCGGTACCGGTCCGCTCCGGCTCACCTGGCTCCTCTCTGGGACTGGGCGGCGGCCTCCTGGAACCACTGGACGCAGGCCTGCATGCTGCGGTGGGTGTGGGCTCCGTCCAGGAAGTAGGTCAGCGCGCCGCGCCGCAGCGTCTGGCTCCGGCCGGCCCAATGCGTGTCCGCCAGGCCTGGAACCAAACGCAGGAACCATGAGCTAGTGCGGGTTCTACGGGTCCGACCGAACGGTTCCGGGACTCACCTTTCACCATGGCGGCACCTGGTCGGAAAGAGTCCGCCTGCAATACGCAGCTGCTGTCCGGATCAGGAAGGGCGGGGCTTGAATCTGCACAGACAGGAAGTCCAGACAGGCTTTTCCACACAGAACCTCTAGACCAGAACCTCAGAACTTCTCAGTTTGGGAGCAGGGTCTTTATTTATGCTTGATAAACTAGCCTCCGGTCACCAGGTGGCAGCAGAGCTCAAACTAACCAGGCTGACAGATGAGACGTTTGTAACAAAAGAATGAATGTCGGCAGAGCCAAGCCAAGCAAAATAAAATAAAAATTTAATTACGAAAACAAATTCATAATTTTACGATAAAGCTCATTTTAAGGAGAAAACACTGTGATGTCATCAGGACGGTCCGTGTGATCCGTCGTGTCAAAGTCCTGCTGGTGATCCAGATGTTAACAGATGGATATTTCCTCGTTGGGTCTCACCTGGCCCACACCTCCGCTGCAGCCAGGTGTGGCAGAGCTGCAGGGCCAGCGACGCGTTGGAGCGCTGGTGCTGACCCGCCAGGCCCAGCTGCAGCTCTCCGGACTCCGTCTGGTACCGGTCCAGGTCCGGACAGACCCGCAGCGGACACTGCAACGGCAGACAGGAAGACGTGAGGTTGACGGCCGGCGGCGGGGCCAACCCGCCGGTCCCAGACACTCACCTGGATCTCTCTGGCCCGGTCCCTCAGAACCGTCATGGCTTCCTGCGGCTGCCGGACCGTGAATGCGGGAACGCCCGGCTGCACAGAAGTCAACCTCTGAGTGAAGAACCGGACATGGAGTCTGAACCTACCTGGACCCGACCAGAACCAGACGCACCTTGAAGATTCCCGCTTTCTGCCAGGCGATCTTCTCGATGGTGTCGCCCAAAATCTGGGTGTGGTCGATTCCCAGAGAGGCGATGCCACAGACCCACGGCTTCCTGGGAACGCACGGGTCAGTGAGCGGCTGTAGCACGACACCAGAACCAGAACCCAAAACAAAGCAAGAACCCAACACCAGAACCAGATAGAACCAGGAACTCAACCAGAACCACAACCCAACATCTACCCTGTCCCGAAACTTTCTACCCAAGAAGCTGGACAGAGGATGCAACAGCATAGCTTACTATGCCAAGCCACACCAAGCTAAGCTATACGAGGGTAAGCTAAGCTACGCTAAGCTGCACTAAGATGTCCTGTGCTACGCTAAGCTAAGCTAAGCTATGCATCAAGCTCCAGAACTCAACAACAGAACCAAACATCTAGCCTGTCTTGGTACTAACAGGCGCTAAGCTACGCTACACCAAGCTAAATCAAACCAAGCTAATATTTCCCCCTGCTTGCAACAGACGGCTTCCAGCCTTAAAATGACGGCGTCCACCTTTAAGCAGAGTCCCACCTGACAACGTTGGTGCAGTCGTACGCTCCTCCGATCCCGACTTCAATGATGGCCAAGTCCACCTGAACGAAAGCAGCCAATCAGACGCAGCGATGGGAAGCAGCCAATCAGACGCTGCGGCGGGAGCTCACCTTCTCCTGGAGGAAGACGTGGAACGCCAAGATGGTGAGGAACCGGAAGTACGCCGGCATCGTCCCTCCATGGGCCTCCTGAGGTCAGAAGTCAGAATCACCTTACGAAGTACAATAAATGACAAGCAGGACTTCAAGCCCACACCATCAACCCTCCCCCGCCGTGCCTCAGGGCATAAAAACAGTTTTGATGGGATTTTGGCCATATTTTACAGCATCTTTGTTTCTTCAGTCTTACTGAACTGTAGCCATTTTCACCTGTATGAAGTGTAAACGTTGAGTTTGGGGGCGTGGCCAGCAACAGCTCATTTGCTGAAAAGAACTGAAAAAAATAATGCAGAACTGAGGAGGTGAAACCTGATTATCTGAGTTTGTTAAAAACAATGTAATGAACATGTTCCGTAACCATGGAGACCAATCCTAACCTGGATTAACCTGGATCCTAACCATTTTACCCTACACCTTTAACCAGATGTATGGTAAAATGATGATTTTTGTCCCTTTGGGTTTCCCATACAGCCCACACAGTTACCAGCAAAACGCAAAGTGAGGCCTGAACGTCTCCAATAAGCCTGTGGAGTCACATGGAGGTCACGCTCTGCCCCACACCAGCACACTCATTAACTGGTTCCTCCTTTCTGGAACTGGGCCCAGTGCAGAGCGGACTGGGACAATCGGACCGGACCAATCGGACTGTTAGATTCTGATCTGCAGTTCAAACACTGAAAACTCTGACTTTCTCTCTGGTCTGTAAACGCATCATCCAGCAGATTTGATGGTGAGTTTACAGGCCGGGTTCTGGTTCTGGTTGGGCTCACCTTGGTCTCATCCAGCCGTCCGTAAACCTGCCAGAAGTATTTGGTGAAAAGTTCGTTGCTGATTGGCCGGCCGTCGATGCGGATCCTCTCCCTCACCTGGACCAGGTGGGGCGAGCTGCAGGAAACAGGAAGTCAGAGCAGAACGTCGTCCAATCAGAAGCCTATGCTCAACAATAACCTGCTACACCGAAACCTGGACTGGAAACCTTCAGCAAACTGGGACATCCAGCTGGAAACCAGTCAGACCTAGAGCTGCTGCTAGCAGTGAGCAGTTTAATCTGGACAGTACCGGTTTAAACTGGACAGTACCGGTTTAATCTGGACAGTACCGGTTTAATCTGGACAGTACCGGTTTAAACTGGTTCCGCCACAGCTGTGAACCCAAACGGTTCCAAAGAACCTCTGGAGTTAGCGTGAAGCCTGGTGGTAGCAGCATCATGCTGTGGGCAGCGTTATTCTAAATCTGGTTCATTTGCAGTAAAATCTGACTAAATAAATGATAGAAAGCAAATAAACTGATAAAATGTTAAATTAATCTATGAAGAACATAAATTTATAAATAACTTGACTAAAATAGCTAAACTAAGTCAAATAAAAAATATAAATAAATAAGTACATTATTGTATAAATAAGTTCAAGAAAATATTAAATAAAATTAAAAAGTAAATAAATTGACAAACTGTTAAATAAAATCATAGATCAATAAACAGATCTAATGAATAACATTTTATAATGCAAAAAAATAAAAAAAAATTCTTTATATTTGAAATTATTTAAAAACAATAAAATATTTTTATAGCGTTAAAGTCGGTTCCATCTGAACCAGGACCGGATTCACCAGACCGGACTCACCTGTAGAACCCGGTCCGGAAGCCGTAGGTTCTGAGGATCCGCTCCGTGAACGCGCAGGTGGATCCCTGGAAGACAGAGCAGCTGGGGTCAGGGTCAGAGGGTCAGGGGTCAGAGGGTCAGGGCTGAGAGGTCAGAGCGGCTGGGGTCAGAGCGGCTGGGGTCAGGGGTCAGAGGTCAAACTGGTGTTCCCGGTGCTTGCATCAGGTCGGCGTACCGGCCCTTTAAGAGCCTCACCTTGCCCTTGGTCCCCGTGATGTGGATGATGTTGAGGTGATCCAGCTGCTCCACCTGAAACAAACAGAGGGTCAGCCTGAAGCAGCAGAGCAGGTTCTGGTTCTGGTTCTGGTGGACCCACCGTGAGCCCGGCCCGCTCCAGGAAGCCCGGCATGGCCAGCAGCTGCTGCTGAGGGTCTCTCTGCCCCCTGCTGGTCTGCTGCAGGACGCTGGCGTTGCTCTGCAGCGTGTTCAGGGTGCAGATGGCGTCCTGCAACAGGAAGTAGGTCTGATGACATCCTGACCCAGAAACACAGCCAGAACCAACGACCCAAACCCAACATGGAGCAGAGCTGAACCTGAACTAACCCACTGGCTCAGCCACTGGTGGAGGCAGCATCATGCTGGGGGAGGAGGGCTGGAGCTGAACCCCGTTAGCAGCAGAGCTTTAGTTACTGATCCTGTGCGACTCTCTTGCTGAGATTTCCCACGCTCATTGAAGGTAGCACTGACAAAAGCAGCGCAGGTTGTGAAGATCTGCTAAGCTAACGCTAACTGGTCTGGTGGCGGTCTGGGAGGAGAGACGTTAGGTGACAGATGGACCCGAATCCTTTAGGACTAAAATCTGTTTCCATGGTAACAGCGCTCCTCAACAGGTGTCTGTTTCTGTTGGAGGTGTTATTTCACATTGGTGAACTTTGTGTCGCATCAAACCTCAGAGGAGGGGATGAAGCACAACCAGCCGCTGCAGTGAACATTTTATCAGCAGCAGCTTCTGGCGCCGCTGACAGAAACCCAAACCGGTTCTGATCACATCAACACAATCGGTGCTGAGCACTGACAGTTCAAGGATTTAGCAGAATAAAAAAACTCTGAGTTCAAATTAATATTTATACTTATTACTGTGCGTCGGACCTGCTGTGTTTAACTTGGTCGCCATATTTAAAATATTTAAACATATTAATGTTTCTGTAACGTTTTGGGTTCCCAGCTCTCACCTGGATGTTTGGGACGGGAGGCTGTAACCTCCTGGGGTCACAACAATATTTATGTTACTGTTCTGAAAAATAACAAACTTAATGAATGTAACTTAATATCTTGAAAAAGGATGTAAGAATTTCCAAGTCTTTGGGCAGGAAATTGAAATAAGCAAAAAATAAACAGTTGAAGTAAAAAGTCTGTTAAAATATTGTGACTTTAAGAATGAACAATATTTTGTATGTAAAGAGCAACACAAAGTGTGAAACAGTAGAGCGCTGCGTATTTAACACAGAATGTCTCCCGCACTGCTGAGCAGGCCGACAGGAAGGGGACCAGTGATCGCTTTTAGATTTTAAATAATGTTTAAAATGTAAAATATGCAAATTGGTATAGGTCACCACAGTACATGTCGGCCATGTGAGTAAATTATCCTACATGATTTAAAATGTGACATTTCCACATCCAGCGGATTGGAGCTCAGGTTTTTACTAAACTTTAATCATCGTCGGTTTTCACTGACATGTTAAGTTGCTTCAAGTATCTGACAGATACAAACTAATCTAAACACACCTGGACAGAATGAACACAGCGGTGTGCTGAAACGGTTCAGCATTAATCTGGCTCTTAGCGCTGAACTGGCTCAGTTAAAGGTCGATTCATGTGTTAAAGTGGCCTAGTCAAAGTGCATACCTGACTCCAGCTCAGAATCTGTGTGAGACGGAATGTTGTAGTTACATCCAGTCTGACTGCGCTGCAGATGCTTTAGTCTGAAAAATGGACCGAGAGGTCCAATCAGAACCGGTTCTGTAGGAGCACCTCCTTCTACTGACCAGAACCGGGAGTTCACATGTCCAGCTGTACTTTGACCCAGTGGACCGCGGCACCAGCCGGCCTCCATTAGTTTTCTGCTGTTCTCCCAGTACAACTAACTGGGCCCATGTTTGTCTCTTCATCCCTGTGCAAAGTTGCGGTTCGGTTCAAACTTATAAAACTGCCGCCGCCCGGACTCAGCTGGCCGAGCTAACGGGCTAGCAGCGCCCGGAGGAGCCGCGCCGCGTCCCTACCTGGTACTCCATGCCGGGGAAGTGAGGAGCCGCCTGGGTGCTGTGGTTCCGGACTGCCCGGTTCGCCAACCTGAACACCGAGTCCCGTTCACTGCACGAAGCGCCAAACGCCGACTGCCGCTGCAGCACGCGCAGCAGACACGCCATCATGAGGCGGTAGGAGTCACAGGAAGCCACGACCAAATATGGGCGGGTCCTTTCAGCTGCGTAATGACGTCAAGATACGCCCCTTCTACGGCTTTTTGTTTATGTTCTGGATGTAAGCACGTTACAGTCAAAATATGAACCATACAGTATATAATATGTTCAAACTGAACAGATTTACAAAAACAAAAAGAAAAAACTTCACTAAAATATGATAAATTGATAAATAAATAATACAAAAATAATATATATAATCATTTAAAATTTACATTTTAAATAATAGTGATGGAGTAAATGACAACAATTTATTAAAATAAATTAAAAATGGCTAAAAAGAATAAAAATATGTATAAACTGATGTATGTAATTCCCAATATTATTTGATTAAACAACATAATTATCAGTTAAGAAGGCAAAAATGTAAATTAATAGGTTAAACGATCAACAAATAAATAGATAATTAGATTTTTAAAAATGAATCTAAATATTTTTCTGAAACAATATGTTGAATACTTTAAGAAGCTTTATTAATCATAACCAATTTATAGGACTCACTTTTTACCCTGAAAAATCTGAATTCTCAAGAAAAATACTTTACAACTTTTGTTGATGTAACAGGTTGCAGTTGCAGCCTCTCTCCAGCTGGTGGCAGTAGAGCTCCGTATTTTTAATTGATCTGCCGCTAGATCAAACCAAAGAAGAACTACTTCCGGTGCCGAAATGCAGCGAGAGAAAACAAGCAACGCCACCGCGGCTGAAAAGTGAGAATTTCTCTCATTTTCTCTAAACAATGTTTTCCAGCTATTGTTCTGGCTGGTTGATGGAGCTGTTTTTTATCGCGTCCAGCTCCCTGTTCAGCCAAAAGGCTCCAGATTGAGGTGAAAAACGGCTTTTATTTCCCTCCGCAGGCCCGACCGGGAGGCCGCCATCATGTCCAAATACTATGACGGAGTGGAGTTCCCGTTCTGCGACGAGTTCTCCAAGTATGAGAAGATGGCCAAGATCGGACAGGGAACCTTCGGGTGAGGAACACGATCAGCTTTTAATTGCTGGCTTCAGAAGATGATAATTAGCTTTCGAACTAGAACCTAAAGGCCCACTTCCGCTTGTTTAGGTAATCTGTACCTGAGATTAACTGACCCGACCTGAGCTAGCTTGGTTTAAACTTAACCTGTATTTTTAAAGTGAGTTTTCTGACCGGTTAAACCTTCAAAAACAGGAGATTTAATCCTGGTTGAATCAAACCCAAAACCACAGGGAGAGTATCACTACGACATATTTTACTGACGTAAAAGTAAGAGGTAAAACATCGGATCTGACATTTAAAAAATGTCATCAGGCAGACAGAAATATGCAAATTATGGTATTTTAAAACATATTTTACTTCCAGTGATATTGTTGGTGTTTGCCGTTTCTTCTTGATCTCCAAGAAGACAAACAGAAAATATCAACAAAGCTGCTGTAGAAACAAGAGGTCTCACTTCCACGTTAACTCTCTGATACTTGTTGAACCGCACATTGCGTAGAGCAGAGGTTCCCAAACTGTGGGGCGCGCCCCCTAGGGGGGGCGCCGTGTCATTGCAGGGGTGGGCGCGGGAAGCCGTCTGGATGAAAAAAACAAAACATGAACACTGTATGCGCTGGGATTTTACCTTAGAATGGCCAACTCTCTGTTATTCCTGTCAATTTGATACAGTAGATTCTTCCACACTTCCCATATTTGTGTCCTCTGTCACTTTTATCAGCAGTTAAAACGGTTTAATCCGTTGTTAACATGTGGTAACCTGTTTTTCCGAGCCGCCTTTAAACGCAACATGAGCGCTACGACGCTCGCGCTGGGTTTCCACCTGTGAAGGAGACCTGCTGCTGCTGGGCGGAGCTACAGCTGTGTTAGAATCACGGCAGCAAACCAGCAAAGAACTTTTCACAGTTTTTCCCTCCAAACTAACCGACTGAGTTGAGTAAAGCTGCTGGATGCAGGTAATGTTAGCTAAAAGATGACTAGCTAATGTTAGCTAAAAGATGACTAGCTAACATCAATACAGAACCTTAAGCTTAACAAGTAGCTTGTAAGCTACCGATGTTGGTGTCTATTTTCAGCTTCGTACATTCATTTTGTCCCCAAAAAAGTCGATCCCTCCCCCCCTCTCCTCCCCTCACATGCGTCACCAGACAGCCATTTGTAATCCATAGGGGGTGGGGGGGCGCAGAAAATGTTTAGAAACCACTGGGGGGGGGGCGCAGAAGAAAAAGTTTGGGAACCACTGGCGTAGAGGATCCAGACATTTTACTGAAGTAAAAGTAAAAAGTCTGATGTGGTGAAAGTAACAGTCGATGTTAATCAGCTCTCTGATAATCGGTCCGGTCGGATCTGGACTGGGTGGTTCTGTCTTCACTCTGGGTTCTATAAAAACCTGGAATCAGATTTGGAAGCATAAAAATATCTGTGTCCTGACCGCTGGGACCCGAGCTGCTTTATTATTATTATTATTATTATTATTATTATTATTACACACTGAATAAATCTGTTAAATACCAGGTGGAGTATTTCACAGATTATAGTGATTATTCTGATCAGATTTGTTACATGTTGGGAATAAAAGTTCTATTAAAAGTTCCACATCAGGTGAGCTGTGTTCATATTTCCCTGGAGGTTCTGTAGAACCTTCGTCTGGACTCAGGATCTTCAGTGATCGTTTGCTTCTGTCTGACAGGGAAGTGTTCAAGGCCAAGCACCGGCAGACCGGGAAGAAGGTCGCTCTGAAGAAGGTTCTGATGGAGAACGAGAAGGAAGGGGTGAGAAACCGGATTCTGACCCGGGTTCTACTGACCTGAAATGAGTTCTGACCCATTCTGACCCGGTTCCTCCAGTTCCCCATCACAGCTCTGAGGGAGATCAAGATCCTGCAGCTGCTGAAGCACGAGAACGTGGTGAACCTGATTGAGATCTGCAGAACCAAAGGTTGGTCCTCCAGGTCTGGTACCGGCCCGACCCGCTTTCAGAGCTCTCACGGTTCCGTGTGTTTGGCCCAGCGACCCAGTTCAACCGCTACAAGGGCTCCATCTACTTGGTGTTTGACTTCTGCGAACACGACCTGGCCGGCCTGCTGAGCAACGCCAACGTCAAGTTCACTCTGGCCGAGATCAAGAAGGTGATGCAGATGCTGCTCAACGGCCTCTACTACATCCACCGGAACAAGGTGAGCCCGGCCCGGTTCCGATTCTGCTTCCGGAGCTGACGCCTGCTAACCTTCTGGTTCTGCCTCAGATTCTGCACAGAGACATGAAGGCGGCCAACGTCCTGATCACCAGAGACGGAGTCCTGAAGCTGGCAGACTTCGGCCTGGCCCGGGCCTTCAGCCTGGCCAAGAACAGCCAGGGGAACCGCTACACCAACCGGGTCGTCACGCTGTGGTACCGGCCGCCGGAGCTGCTGCTGGGTGAGAAACTACATGCTGGTTTCAGCATCTGTCCTCCACATAGAAATGTTTATTGTTGTGGTGGAAAACTGGAATAAGTATCAGTTTTTGATGTATTAAATGTATAGAAATAGCAGGGGGAGC